TTTGCACGGGGTTGGAGTTGTGTATGTTCCTGTAGGTGTGTGTGTGTGTATTTGTATGCGTGTGTGTATGTATTTGTATGTGTGTTTGTTTGTGTGTGTATTCCAGTGTTTTTTCTTCTCTCTCTCTCTCTCTTTCTCTTTCTCTCTCTCTTTCTCTCTTCCTCTCTCTATTTGTATATGTTAATTTCATAATTGTTTCTTTATCATAAAAATTTACAGCCAGCCACAATAATTTTCTCATTCTCCTGATCATAAATCACCACCACCACCATCACCACCACCATCACCACCACCATCATTGCCGTGACGTCATCGGAACCAACCACAAAAACTTTCGTCGCTTCTGTCGCTACAATCAACATTCCCATCGCACAGTGCCCTGCTCGGAATGCACTGATCTACGTAGTAGCACTTCATCTGGCCCGGCTGGCAGCTGTTTGGAGGGGGGCTGGGCATGGGGGTTCTCATGGTCTCCGTTCCTGGTGATGATAATGATGTTTTTTGACGATGGTGACGTCATTTCTTCATCATCTTTAACGTCATCATCATCGTCGTCAGCATTTCAGCCATCGTGATCATTGCAGTGGTCATCATCGTCTTTGTTTGTTGACGTCATCACCGTGAGTGAATGAATTAATTGGCCATTTTTGGCTGACGGATTGAATAGCAGACCGAGTCGTCGTAATGAAAATTTTCAAACTCCGGCTAATAATTCCCACTCTGACTCCATGGAGCGCCTTGATATATGGGATTCTTTTCGCATTCTAACCAGCTTGCTGCAACAAATCACTCACACCGATCGCAACCACACTCGTAACCACCACCACTACCACCACCACCACTCACCACAGTACCACTACCACCTCTACCACTACCACCTCTACCTCCACTACCAGCACCACTCACCATCACCCACCAATCACCAATCACCACCACTACCACCACCACTACCACCACCACCTACCACCACCACCCACCACTACCACCACCACTCACCACAGTACCACTCGTCGCTGCCATCTGCACAGTCCCTTCTGTAATCACACATCCGGGAGGATGGGATGCACTGGTCGACAGTGGAGCACCTCACCTCCCACGGGCCACACCTGCTGCTCGACATCGTGGTTAGGATTCCTGCGGCCGAAGCAAACAATTCGACAAACGAATGAACAATTGAATGAACAAACGAATGAACAGTTGAATGAACAAACGAACGAAGAAACAAACGAATGAACAACCAAATAAACAGCCAAATAAATAAAAATATGAACAAATGAATGAACAAACGAATGAACAAACGAATGAGCAAACAAACAAATGAACAATTAAATGAACAAACAAACGAAGAAACAACCGAATGAACGAACGAATGAACAACCAAATAAACAAAAAATATGAACAAATGAATGAACAAACGAATGAACAAACGAATGGGCAAACAAACGAATAAACAATTAAATGAACAAACGAATGAAGAAACAAAGGAATAAACAAACGAATGAACAACCAAATAAACAAAAAATATGAACAAATGAATGAACAAACGAATGAGCAAACAAACGAATGAACAATTAAATGAAAAGATGAATAAATAAACAAAATTATAAATAAATGAATTAATTCATTAAATGAGTGAATTGTGGTTATAGTAATTAATCTTCCGAACGAACTAGTTAACATTCCGCAGCCAAACTCGTCTGACATATCGGAGCAGTCGTATAGTCCATCACATTTCTGGCTATTGCTGATGCATCGACCTCTGTCTACTGTCCTACATTTGAACTGACCGGGTGGACACGTGACTGAATGGCGAGGTCAAAAAAGGTTAAAGGTCATTCTCGCTTTCGCTCAACGACAAACACATACATTATATATGAATACGCATGTGATATGCGGTGGTCTGTTTGCAGTTGATCCGAGTCACCGAGACAGCAGGATCGGGCGTCTCTAACCATTGAGCCATCACAGAACGGTGAAGATGATGATGATGTGGAGGAGGAAGAGAATGATGATGATGATGAGAAAAAAGAAGTGGAGGAAAAAGATGAAGTGAGGGTAATTGGTCTTATCATCATCGTCATCATCATCATCATCATCATCAACAGCAACAACAACATCAACAACAACAACATCAACAACAACATCAACAACAACATCATCATCAAGAACAACATCAACAACAACATCATCATCAATGCTAACAGCACATGTCATCATTTTCATCACTGTTGTCGCCGCAGTCGTTGCGTCTGTCGCACATGAGGCTCCCAGGTATGCAGCTGCCGCTGTTGAGGCACTTGTACTGGCCCATACCACACGGCTGTCCTGTTGTGGTTGGCGTGACAATGGTGTGGTGGTTGTAATGATGATGATGATGACGACGACGATGATGATGATGATGACGATGACGATACAATGGCAATGAGGATGATGATGATGGAGACGAGGAAGATGTTGATAATGAGGACGACGACGACACCAACCGCAGCTTCTTTCGTCGCTTCCGTCGCTGCAGTCGGCAGTGCCGTCGCAGCGGAACCTCGAGAGGACGCACTGCGTCCCGTCCTCGCAGCGCATTTCTTCGCCTCTGCACGGCGTAGCTGAAAATATTATCATAAATTATGATAATGAGGATATTAGCAGTGGCATAAATTATGACAATGAGAATCCTAAAAGTTACATAAATTATGCTAATGAGAACACTAATAGCGACATAAATTATGATAATGATAATTCTAACAATAAAGGCATAAATTGTGATAATGAGAATTCCAATAATTACATAAATTATGATAATGAGAATACTAACAATAAAGGCATCAATTGTGATAATGAGAATACTAATATTTACATAAATTATGATAATGAGAACACTAATGACGGCACAAATTATGATAGTGAAAACAATATTTAAAATATTTTAGGAATACCCTTTCTCCATCACTACTACTACTACTACTACTACTACTACTACTACTACTACCACTACTACTACTACTACTACTACTACTACTACCACCACCACCACTACTACTACTACTACTACTACCACCACTACTACTACTACTACTATTACTACTTCTCTACTAGTTACTACTCCTAACAATCAAAGCCTGAATTTGTCTCAATATTTTAATCTTTATCCTTTTTACGACTGGATTCAAAAACCAGGTGTTAATGTTGGAAGAACTTCGTACTACAGCCGTGCAGCGAACTGGGTGTACAACCACAGATTTTCGGCGGGCATGAAAGGAAATCGAACCTCAGTTTTAACGAATAAATGTAAATATCAATTTTTGTACAGATGGCTGGCTGAAATCAAGTCAAATGAAATAACAGCCAGCGATGTTTCATTTTGACGAACGCAAATTTTCGTGTCAAGTTGTCATTTCATCCATTCAAACCCATCCTTGATCAATCACGAGACAACGAAGGAGAGATTTAAAACTGTCACAAACAGGTATAGAAGCCCGACAATCTGATCAAATTCAATCAAATTTTTTCGAGTTGGGATGTTTCAAATTACTATTTAACGCGATCCGATCTGACGAATAAAGTATAATTTTTCATCCAAAAGTAGTGGCTGTAATTTCATTTTGGCCTCAGAAGTAGTGTGGCCACTGAAGTCGCTACTGGTTAGCAAACTCCGTTAGCGACGCTACGACAGCTCTGTAATAAACAACTCTGCGACTTTGGTGACAAAACTTGGATGAAATTTTTTGGCTGACGTTTTAAACTGTGGGGTGGAGTAAGACCATTAACATTGGTATAAAGTTCGTCGAGAATTATTTTTTCATTCATCTTTACCAAACCTACCAAAGCTGCTGCTGCAACTGCTGCTGCTACTACCGCTACCGCTACTATTACTACTACTACTTCATCACCATCACCATCATCATCTTCATCATCATCACCATCATTATCACCACCATTAACTTTATTATCATTATCATCACCATCTTCCTCATCATCATCATCACACTTAACTTCATCATCATCCTCATAATCATCACCACCATCATCACCACCATCTTCCTCCTCCTCCTCCTCATCATCATCATCGTAACTGACCGCAGTTCATCTCGTCTGAGTTGTCGTCACAATCTCTTCTGCCGTTACATCGCTGGGAGCTGGAGTAACATTGGCTGGTGGTGCTGCACTTCGTCATCCCGGGAGAGCAAATGTCTGATTGGTAGTCAATTATCATCTTCATCATCACCACCATCATCATCATCGTCGTCATTAATAACAATAATACAACGATAACAATAAAACAAATAATAATAATAGTAATAATAATAATAATAATAAACGTACTACAGCCCATTTCGTCACTGCGATCGGGACAATCTGGAAATCCATCGCAGAATTCTCTGGCGATAATGCATTTAGTGCTACCCGTACATCTGACCTGTCCAGAAGGACACCCTAAAGGTCAAAGATCAAAGGTTAAAAGTTATAGGTCTAGCACACTCTTCCCAGGTTCAAATAAATGAAATCAAAATGTCTAGTATAATGAATTGTACTGCATCAAATGGTCCTATTGAGTGAATTGTATGGCGGTGAAGTTAAGAAGATTATTACTATAATTTATAATGAAATTATATGAATTATAACGAAATGAATTACAACGAAATGAATTATTATGAAGTTATATGAATTATAACGAAATGAATTATAATGAAATGAATTATAGCGAAATGATCTGCAATTATTCACACCTCATTCAAATAAAATCACAAATTACAGACCCTTCTCTATTGACATTATCATCATCATCGTTATATTTACTACTACTGACGATAATAAAAAAAATTATTTTTATCACATTTATTATTATCGGCATAATAATTATAAATTTTTATGAATAATAAAAAACATTCTCACCGCAGTTCTGCTCGTCGGCTCCATCGTCACAATCTCGAACACCGTCGCAAAGGAACTGCTGCTGGATGCACTTTAGACCATCGTCACATTTCAACTCGCACTTTGTGCCTTGT